CCAACCGTCTGTAAAAACCTTCAGCATGTGGAGAGTTGTACGTTCGTAGCATCGGTGGTTGGATGGTGCGATTGGCTAGTCAGCTCTTGACAGCATTCGATTGGGGGCTGTGTCTCGTCAATGTAATAAGCCTGGAACCAGTGCTCCCTGCTGACAAAGGCTGTCTGATCATTTAATTCTTCACGATTTAGCTGTACCACTAGTTTTTATGAGCTAACCGATATATTTGTGTGCAACGGCATTTGTAAGCCAGGGGAGTATTCGGATGCCGCATCGCATTGCGTCGTTTCACCTTCGCCCCAAATTCGCCGTTTTGCATGACGATGGGGAGCGGTCGATGTGACACCGCGGAAAATCCAGCGGGTTGACCCCAACTCTCCTAACCTCAGCGGATTGATCAATCTCACGATTGGTAGCCAATCTGATTTCTCTTGGTCCACATCTTACCTACTAGGACAGATCAAATGTCAATTTTACCTTAGAACGACGTTCTTCTTTGCATACTCATATCCGCATAACAATGCAGCTTACCAGCATAAAACTTACACAAACGCTGCTTTCCTTTCATTTTGACTGCCATGAAATATATATATATATATATATATATATATATATATATATATATATATATGGATATTCATAAAAACATTGCATGCGTTTTGATCATACGTTTATCGTGCACGGCTCTGCTGACGTAGCAGTGTTGACCGCCGTGCGCCATCGGCGGATCCGTCGGTTGCCACCCGCCGCCCGCACCGGCCGTAGATCATCACACAGTATTCCGACAAAAACTTTGCTTTTCAGAAATCAGACTGATAGTGAAACGTTTTTGGTGTCAAAACACACACATCGAATCGCCCTAGGCTTGATAAGCATTCGGCGCGATTGCACGTTCCAGAGAGATATCCTCAGAATCTTCGGGAGGGGCTAGCGTATGTCACCCTCCCCCTTAGCAGGGGAAGAGTTAAAGCATGTAACTATGAATCCATATGAAACTGAGATCCTACGTACGACATGGACGTGTCAAAAGTGCTTTATGGGTAGTTACTAAGCAGCATGATTCAAAGAAAAGAAAAAGGGATGATAGGCCATGGCTTGAAGCGTTTGCCTCTTAACTGCTGTATGTCGTTCTGAAAAGGTGCTGGTGCATTATTATAGGCTTAGACCTAAACGTTCGACATTGCCTTGCAACTAGAAGCCATTCTTCATCAAAGGGTCCATTGCAGATGGCGCTAAAGCCATTACATTTAAAAAATGACCCGCAAAGTCAGTGTGAAAATATATGGCATCGGTTGCCACCTCCAAACGGTTGCCTGTAGTTCATTTAGCGCATGCTTTCAATTCGTCGCATTCGTCGCATTTACGTACAATCCACTCCCAGCAGGGTGTTTAGTTTATGTTTATACACAATCTCTCTTCACGTAGCACGCCTCTTTTCGCATATATATTACGTTATCTACGCTATGAATATTTGTTGAACATTATTATCCAGCGCAGGTCTGAGAAACGTTGCACATGCATAAGACAGTGTCGATAGCTTTACTCCTCTCAAATGACCATGAGAAAGGAAAGAAGATGCGTGAAAACTTTGTAGCGTATCCATTATTAATAAAGAATGCACTGTGGCTGAAATGCAGGCAAGTACAGACCCTATAACATTTTTAGAACTCAATCATACCCTGAGCACAGGGCCACCCAGAAAGGAAAATTAGTGAGCCCATTCTTAAAAAAATTCGGCGACCAGACCTAAACGTGCAGGGCTCATCATGGCAGATTATGCGAATGTGATAAGTGTTTTAATGTGTAATGCCCGCAAGGTTGAAATTGTTTGAATGTATAACTGGTACATGATACGTGGTACCTGATGTCCGTACTTTGATGAACCAGCCTATGCCCCTGAGGAGCTCAGATGTGTGAATATTTGCTTACAAACACATTACTATCATTTCCACTTACCCCGGAGAGGTTGGCGCGTAGGGAGGACGGCTCCTGGAAGTGTTTTCGCGTGCTGGGCGCACCCGTGGGTGTGCGTTGTACGAAATCATTTCCATGTCGTGCATTTTGCTTCCGTGTGGCAAGATTCCTTTTAATGATTTGGTGTGTTTGATACGCCCGGCACACTCGCAGGGCCGTGCTGTGCGGTGCACCGATGCTGAATAGAAGGCGAAAATCCCTCCAGCGTAGTGCATCTTTTCCCACTCAGTGGCGTGGAAACCCGTTCCCCTAGTTAAATGACGTCGGTTCCCGTCACTGTGTAGAGCATCATGTGAAGTTAATTATGTATGGGCAAGAAATTCCCCCCTCCCCGCTCATTGAAAAAGTCTTAGGCGAGACCCTGGACCTGCATGGCTTCTTACATATGCTGCAATATATTCGCGACATTTCATCACCTATTTCTCCTGATGTGTTTGCTTGCAATATGCGAGCGACGCGCTATTGATCTTTTTCAGATTACGTCCCTTTGCGTGTTTTTCCGGCAGAGCAAGGTTCGCTGTTGCGGATTTCGAGGGAGGAGGGATGGGCATCAGCCCCAGCCCGTGGTTAGATGGAGAAACGCTTCACTGTTGTTCTGCTGAGATATTGCTGAGAACTGCAGCTGCTCTGCTCTGGAACACTGATTGAAGACTGTTCCTGGTCGCCCGGAAGCAGTATGTCTGCCGGCAAGCTGACACAGCAATCAGACACTTCCGTCAAAGACAACTGGTGCTGCTCCAGAATCATCATGCTTGGGAAAGCAGGTATTGCACCATATGAGTTTGTAATGTTCAGCTCGTACTTCACATACAATTCTGCCAAAATTTACAGCGCGGATTTCCTTGCCACGAGTATTGGTTATTCCACAAGATGAATATGGCGAGGACAAACCCATTTTATCTATTTCATTTCTCTCAGCACTTTCACTGGCAACAATTGGCAAACCAAGTTTTGGAATCGTGACATAAAAAAGAAGTGGCAGAATTCCTTTTGAAAGTGGCTGCCTGTGTTTTCCTGGAGTTCGCTATTATATTATCTATTTCAGACATGTTCAACGAAGGCACCTATTAATCATTGCCGACGGCCTTTGTTGCCATCAGCCGCAAGCCATCCATTGTGGGAGCAAAGAGCGAGTGCCTCAAATGACCCAAACTCATCCTGTAATGAGTGAATTGATCGGAAAATAGCCGCTCTAAAAAATGATTATCGAAACAGTACCGTATTCCCGTGTAGACAGCTGACAGCCACTACGCTCCAGTTTCTCTAAAAATGACTGATAAGCTTGGCAGCAGCGTCCTGGCAAAATAAAATGCGACACATCACTTCTTATTCACATAATACGTTTCGCTTGCTTACGCTGATAAATGGCACCATTTAGAGTTTTATGTCGTTATGGTGACCGCAGGAAGACAAGTCAAGTCGGTTTTCATGCGAGTACTCCATGTAAGTGACTTCTCGCTAAGTTTTTCCATACGTGTTCTCCGAGGGAGTGCATGTGTAGTGCATTTCTGCACTGCCGTTCGACATGGATGCTCTCATTATTTCAACCTCGGTAAACGATTTAACAAAGATCAGTTCTTTCAGTACCAACACAGGTGTGCGCGAATAATCACCCACACTCAGGCCGTGGGCAGTGATCTCAGGTACCGAATATCGCCATTTTCAGGTGCCATCCTGCGCAACACACCGCGCTACGGTGTCTCCCGCAACAAAACGGAAATAGGTACCAGGAAAATGGTTTCGGCGGGAGGGACTGTGACGACGGCAGGAAACATCGCGCAGACGACGGCGACAACGACGACACCTAGCATCTGTTGAATGGTTTAGTGATTGTCGCATCGGGCATGATAACAGGGAAGTGTATGTTTTGCATAAGGGTGCTGTTGTCGAGGGATAAACTTTGACCTGGCTTATTATCGATGACATGAAGCAGTCTGCCTGGAATTACGGCGGTCTATCAATCAGATGGAATTCGAAATGGCAGATCGGTGAACCCCAACTGGGGCCCACTGAGATTGTTAAAAAGACCCCATCTGGGTCAGGTACACGGGTCCCTTCTGGGTTGGCTACATGGGTCCCAGCTGGATTGGCCCGTGTGAGTCCCAGCTGAGTTACCCAGGTGGGTCCCACCTTGGCTGCTCGGGTGGGTCCCATGTGTGTCCCAGCTAAGCCCCACAAGGGCCCCACATGGGCTTCCATGTGGAACCCAGTTGGTTGCCCATGACATGCCCGCATGGGCCCGAGGTAGCAAACCCAGGTGGGCCCTATTCGTTTGCCCATCTCGGACCCACATGGGCCCCGGTTGTAAACGTTGGATGGGCCCCATGTGTGCCCCAGTTAGGCCCCACATGAGCCCAAAAAGGGTCACCCATATGGGACCCAGATGTCTGCCCATGACATGCCCACATGGGATCAAAGTTGACAGCCCAGGTGGGCCCCATATGACTGTCCAATTGGGGCCCCTATGGATCCCAGTTGGAAATGCTGGCAGGGTAAGTAGTCTTGTATGATTTTTGTCACCATTACCATCTAAAGGCCCAAAAGGTTGCTGACCTGAAATGAGCATGTGACCTTTTCCTGAGAACAGGTATCTACGTTCTGGGAGCACTTTGGGGACGAGCCTGGAGTTTGAACTTGTTTTACATTATTTGACCAAACATTCATAAACCGGAGAGCGCAAACCTTGACCTAAGGGAGTTTATGTACAGGCCAAATACTCTGGTGAATTTAGTGTCTACTCATCCTAGTTCCTGAGATCTCGGGGTGGGGGGGATCAAATTGACCCTCACCCGAGCGAGGGGCATCAAACTGGCCACCTGGGCGCGGGTGAATATGGTTCGACTGTTTTTGTCCGGAATTTTTTGTTTGAATTCCTTTCATTCAGTTTTTCATTGTTTTTTTAATGCAAAAAATGGATGTAGCACGAGATGACGGACGTCTGAGATATGAGCCGAGCATTCAAAAACAGCGGTGGGCCTCCGAAGGAGTAACTCAATGACGTCATTCAGCGGCACGCGCAGAGCGAAAAAACGTTTCGTGACAACCACATATACAAGAACTTGGCGTGGTGGTCAAAGTTGTCAAAATCGCGTCGGTGCGTGCGTGGGGGAGGTGTAGAGTTTGGTCATGAAGATACAGCGACAGAAAAAGCTGAAGAAGCGTCTTGAATTTTTCAAGAATAATTTTGGATTTAACACTCCTTACAGCTTGATCGTCGATGGAACATTCTGTTTCGCGGCATTGTCGGTAAGCTGCGTGATTGATATGCGTTTTCGGTTTACTGCGTTCACGACCTATGCATTTTTTGCTATTTTCTGACAGTCGTTGATATGGTGCTCTGGAAGGGGTCAGATTAAATGCATAGTTTTAATGTTGTGGTGTGGGATTGGGGGCTGAGTTTTAATAAGTATCATCAAAGTTTTGGTCAACAGGTGTGTTATCAGTGCAGGCATTCTACATCTTTTTATGAGATGCCACCAGTGCCCCTGATATTAGCATTCAGAGATTCCTTTTACAGAAGGGAAAGTAATAGTCCATTGACATGCCAATGGGTTCAATGTGTAAGCACCCCAAGCCATAAATCAATGTCCATTGACAGCCGTGATGGCAGCATACATTCTCCCACAGCACAAGGTCAATATAAGAGAGCAAATCCCAAAGATCCTGGAAGATAATGTCAAGATTCTTACTACCCCATGCATTGTCACTGAAACAGAAAAGATGGGTAAGAAGAGTCAATGCATGTAGTAGAAGTTTGTAGCTTGATGGCATGATTAAGAAGTGCTCAATCAAGTATGTTTTTTGCAATATTTGATAACAGGTTATGATACTACAAGGAATAATTCAGTCCCAAATTCACCAAGAGGAACTGGTCACATTGGGATGTTTGAAACCTGATGTGCCGAAAGGCATCTCTAAAAAGCATTTTGCTATTGTAAGGATATGAGCTATTCAGTACCAAGCTGATGTTTATTAGCCATTCACGTGTAGCCCATAAAAGGTTTACTGTTTATGCCTGCCAATGCATCAATGACAACAGTTTATGGCTGTGATGTATACCATTGTTTCACCTTATGGCAATTACAGATCATGATTGCCTATGTCTTATATTCCAGGTCCTGCACTGTATGGAGCATTCACCATAGTGAAACAGTTTGCCCACCACCAGTGTGGACATGATGTTGCTGTCAATGGAGCAAAGTGTGTTCGCAGCATGGTGAAGGGAGGCAATAAGTCTAAGTAAGTTGGTGTGCACACATTACATGTCTGCAGCAATGTGTACACAATGGTATTGTTTTATGAATTTGGCAAATGGTGCCTGGTTGTGAAATGGTGTTTGAATGGTAAATAGTTTGCATAGAGATGCAGGAAGCTTATATTTATTTTCAGATTATTTTTACCTATATTTTTCTGAACTGGACATGTTAATGAGATTTATCCACGTCTCTGCAACAAATCAGTTTCCCCTTTAAGACCACATTGCCAACCTCACCATTCAAAGCATCAAAATATTGCAGGGTCATTGATGGGATGCTCAGGCAAGGTCAAGGCCCTGGTCAGTGACTTCATGTGCTGACATATACCCAGTCCCCTTCAGATTTCCCCCCAAAAATGTGCTGAAGTTAATCTGTAATGACTATGCTTAACCATGATATACCTATGTTGGATTGGAGGTGCTGCCAGTTAAGCAATTTGGCCAAAGTGACATTTCACTTTTTATAATTCCTTGATACATGGGCGGCTGCAAAGGTGAATGCCACTCTAAAACTTTGATTTTTTTGTGCCTGAGTGAAATCACTTGATTCATGCCCCGACCCATGATGTGTCAGGGCATGGATGGTCCATGATGTAGATATTCATTTGGCACTGTGCTGATCCTTTTTTCTTAAACATGCTGGTGATAATTATTCTGTATAATGAGTATATTCAGGTGGCATGGGTGGTGGTGGTGTCATCATCAGTCTTGGGTATCCCAGCCGTCACTCAGGTGACAGCGTCACCCTGTGTCGGCACAGGTACGCAGTGGCCACACAGGACCAGGCGCTGCGTGCGCAGCTGCGCACCATGCCCGGCGTACCGATCCTCTACCTACACAACTCGGCGCCCACGCTGGAGAAGCCACCGGAGGTCAGCACGGAGCGCGCCGGACGCCGCGAGGCCGACAGGTGAGGCGCGCACGCTGACCCGCCCCGGGCGTGCGCGTGGGGAGGCGGCCGGCGGCGCATCAGGCGACGGACGAGGCAGACCCGCCGCCCTGACTGGCTGCGGATCAGGGGCGTCGGCGAAACGGCCGCCTGGCGCACGCCTCGGCACAGGTGGTTTGCCGCGACGGTCTGCCGGTCAGGGGGCGCCAGCAAGACGGCCGCCTCGCGCACGCCTCGGGCTAGTCGGACGACCCAAGGTCATAAGATGGCTACTGCCATGTACGAGGCATGTGGGTGTATTTTTCCTGCTATGACATCGCGGCTTATGGTTCACGGCCTACTGTCCCTCCCCTTGCTCAAAATCGTCCACTCAATGTCGAACCAAAAGGTAGTCAACCCAGCATCGAATCGCCTCATGCTAGACAAATGGGCTGGGCAGGTCAGATGCTTTGGTTCGGGGTTGAAGGCTAACGGGTTATTGCCAACGAATTGTGTGCGGATGCCCATGGAGTGCCAGGATTCTCGTAGCATGGATGTATGTTTACATCCCGGACACCCTGCTGGATGAATTTCGGAACGCCGGCAGGCGTGCCTTGCCTCATAAGCGGTGGACACGGCGACGCCGCTTGCTGGTGCCGTAGGTGTGAGCCATCTATGTTGTATTGTACGCGGCTCCTGTCCGGTGTTGCAGGGTGGGCCTGTCGGAGGACCAGCGCCAGACCATCGCGTCACTGAAGCGGCGCCTGCTCGGCGAGACGGAGCCGACGCTGCGCCGCAGCCGGAAGACGGCGAAGGGCGCCAATCCGCTGTCCCGGCGCCGGAAGCAGGCCGCACCGGCACCCGAGCCGGCCGAGGAGGCGACGGCCGGCCGCAGCCGGCGCCGCCGGCGGGTCCGGGTCCACGTGGCAGCGCACGTCAAGGAGGAGTTGGCGCGCCGCCGGTCGCCAACAGTCGGCGGCCCGACGTAAGGGGCCGACCGTCGCGCCGAGCCGAGCTCGACCGGCGGGCGGTGTGGCGTTCTGGAACTTGATCGCCGGTGCCGGCGTTGGTGATAACAGCGGGTGTTGTTTGTAGATGGCCCGCATTGTGCGTCACGACAGGCGTGGTCGCTGGTCTCAGCTGCCTTGAGTGGTCAGGCATGGTGGGGAGGCGGCTCGGCCGACCATGTTGTCGTGGACACATGCTTTTGTATGTTTACAGGATGGGGATGTGAGGGTAGGGCTTCCGGCAATAACTTGCCCTTCGTGCCATGCTGCCCTTTGCTACTGCGCCGCCACATTCGACTGCGCAATATATTGCTGCAATCCTCATCAGTGGTCTGTGTATTGGGAGCCGTCGCCGACGTGTGAAAAAGGACCAAGCGTGCTACTATCGCGCCATGATAACGTTCGGTGAAAACAGCTCCACAGCGCGAGACTCGCACCGTCGCTCGCGCGCCGCGCCGAATCCGGATGCGCCACTTCGGCCTGTGACGGGCTGGGCCGTGGCGCAGAGCAAAGCCAAGCCGGGCCGCCAACCACCTGCAATCGCTCACTCAAGTCGAGGCGGTGCGCAACAGACTAAACGGTGTACGTGGGCGCAATAACGTGCCCAGGTACGCGGCGGTCGCGACCGGACGGCGCCGCGGCCGCGCGTCACGTGACTCAGCGTGGCTCATGCGACCTCAGGCGTCCGTGGCGCCGGCGGCCCCTGGCATCAACGCCGTACCACATCAGCTCACGGCTCTTGACACCAGAGCAGGTCATGGCCCCTTGAATGTATATATCTCGACACTCTTGGCACAGTTACAGGGGTGCAGCCAAGGGAGAGGGAGGGGCTGTCCTTGGGTCAGTATTTTGTGTTTTGCACCGTAGATGGCTCCGGGAAATTCGTCAAAAATCTGCGTCGCGCATTCTCACTGGGCTCCGGAGTCTCCATTGAGAAAACTGGCCTGCACCATTACAGCTCAGTTTCTGAGATCAGAACAGACACAGCAATACTTGGTGCCAGTCAGTGATGTATAGCTCCGTAAATTAATTGTGGGAGGGCGAACGGATAAAGATGGCCAACTCTGCCTCAAAATATGCAAACAAACAGGTTTCTCCCCGCATTTTCCCGTTCTCTTTTCAAAGTCGCGGTGTGCGTATGCGTGTGTGTGTGGCTGAATGCCCCAACTGAATAGGAAACTACGCTCCTGATGCCGACTAAGCACCAATGTAAACACTGGTGCACGCATTGGCGCCGCGCTGGCTAGAGCATAATCTGTCAGGATTCAAAACGCTCGCACATTTTGCAATAGAGTCCCTCAGGATCAGTTGCCCGCTTTTGGAACACATGAATAAAATGCCAATCTTCAGAGCTGGCAAATAACCGACGATTAATAATAAATGTTTTTATGAGACAGCGGAGCCGGCACACTTAGCATGTTTTCGGGTGTTCCTACGCGGCGCATATTTGTGTTTTGCCGGGGATCCTGAATATTAGGATATCGATATATATATATATATATATATATATATATATATATATATGACGTCATCAATCAGTTGGTGATAACACAATTTCGGCAATGACAGCTGCATCGTAGCACCCAGCGCGCCACATTCGCTGGCATTCGGCGTTTGGGTTCCGGCTCCTTGCTCCTTGCTGCTGGCTCCCGTGCTGTCAGGTGGACGCCCGAAATAAGTGGGGTGTATGCATTTACTATTGCAGGATTCTAATCGACCTAATAGTGACAGCAAGCAGGTGAGGTCAAGTGCATTTATATAAAGAATTCGTTGCTGTCCTCAGACTTTCTAAATTAGTTCTGTGTTTGAGGTGTCCGGTCATTTGTCCGGTGCTCATATCATTTGGGTTACGTGATTATGGAGGTGGAGCGCGTATTTCCATGCCCAGTATTGCATTGGTATTTGGAAGGGTGAAGTTTGCGATCACAGCAGCCATTATGTGGTATGAATAAGGACTTGGCATTATATTTACTTTGAAGCTGGTAATGTGTTGAAACCTTGTCATTTGTGTTTTAATTACTTATGATATGAGTGCGAAATTGATGTTGAAGTCAGTACCCCCTAGATCACCAACTTAAATAATAGGTACTAATTATATTTTCCCAATCTGTACACTGTCTTGCTCATCGTATGATGCCCTATTTTCCAAAATATGGCAGTGATAAAGTGTAATATTAATTTATACCATGCATCCACTAACCTGGCACCCTGAAGCTGAAATTATAATAACATATGATGTCAGTTACCTAGTAAGGCAAACAACCTAACCCAACCTAACCTACCTGAACCTAACCCAACCCAACCCAACCCAACCCAACCCAACCCAACCCAACCCAACCCAACCCAACCCAACCTAACCTAACCCAACCCTTTTCTTAGGATTAAATCTTATGAAGGCTCCACCCTTTGCTCATCTGGCATATTGACAAATAAAGTATTAGAACTATATTTTGATGCTTTATTATGCTGTGAAGAATACTGACTTAAGATTATGTTGGTTGTATACAGGATATATGATTATACAGTTCATCAGTGATAAAATATTGCAGTTTTTGTTATGATTGATGTTACATAGTGTAAAGACTTCATGTCATGTGGATGAATTTATTCTGAAATGAGTGGGAATTTCCATAATTTATTGTAGAATTGGGGTAAATTACAATACAAATCTTTTGAACCTCCTTTGTCAGACTAGTCATGTCTTATAAACTACATTTTTGTTTTGGCTTCAGAGTCAGCATGCAACAACATGCTGATCACTTTTTCTGGCAAGGCCACAAGGGATGGGGGCATTATCCCAACAGGCATTGTCTGGTTGGACTGATTTCCAAACAGTCATTGTGGCCACTTGTGGGGAATATTGTACCCTGGCATTTTGCATGTATTACATTGTACTTATACTATTTGATATTCATAGTCCAAATAAAATTAGATTTCATGGTTGCTTGCTTGCAACTTTCATAATTGGGGCCTTGAGGTACCAAATTGTCAGTGAGTGGAGGGATAGCAGGGGTGTGATGATAGTCCATTAAAATACAACAGCATTTATGCATTGGCAACTTGATAACTCCATTTGGTTAGCATATTCCATTTGAGACTATGCATGGTATGTTATAGACCAGGCTCATTGTACAGGCAGAAAGCAGCATTCTCATGGAGAACAACAAGGTGCTTTCTAGGTTATTAGTTCAGAAAATATAAATTTGTGGTGCAGTAACCACTTGGATATGCCAGTTTCCCAACACTTAAAGTACAAGCCATGCATTTTCATTATCATGCTTTTTTACAAGCTGCTATTTTGTGCACTTGCTTGTTTTATGTTTTCCAATTGCAGCTCCTTTGATAGTGTCAGGTTTGTATGCTATGATTGATCAATTACATGTGTGATAGCAGCCTTGAAAAGATTGTGACTATCCCCTTATATTTTGTTCCATTGATGTAAATTATCAATATCTTGGGAAGCCAAACATAATGTGTGGTGGCGAGGACAGCTAGTCATGGAAGAAAACATTGCAGATAGCTGTTGCGATACAGCAGGTATGTGTTAATTCCACCATGAATGGTAGGGACCATGGAGCCTACATAAGTACCTACCTGTCAATCAGTCCTCCACCAAGGTTATGACTCAGTACATTGCCTGCAACAAAATATTATGTGATAACATGGATCAACATGCATTTTCTTTCACAAATGTTTTGATAGATCTGGTCCTCAACTGAATTCTCATTGGTTTGTTATTCCACTGATTTGCAGCCAACATGAGCATGGTGGGGCGCAAGGTGGAGCTGGAGAGGAAGAAGGCGCGCCTCTTGGCTCTCCGTGAAGAAAAGGAGAGGCGCAGGCAGGAGAGGGAGCAGGCGGTATGTGATTAGCCTTTGGCATCAGCTTCGTTTTTTGCAAGCTCATCATATAAATGTACTGCCTGCAGTTTTTATACTGAATGAACCATAAGCTGTGATATCACAAGTATGATGCAAAAGAAACAGGCCAACTTCTGGTACGGTCATTTTGGATGACCTATTGTTTACTTGTGATTTTTAAACACAAGTCCAAAAGTTTTGGGGTCATTCCACTGCCAGAAATTTTATAGTTTACAGTGCTTGCCCATGTGCAACACACACACAAGTCCAACAGATTTGCTGGATTTCCTCCACCATGCAGTGGTGGCTGGTATGGTACATGATCTGTTTTCCTGCAGGAGTTCTGAGATTTCTTGATGACAATTTACTTAATTTCTTGTGCAGTGCCATCAGCCACGGTCATTTTTGCACAGTTTGTGTTTAAAGAGGCACATTCAGCATGGCTCTAGTTGAGTATCTGTATGGTTCACAACATGCTACAGTTCATGCTGTACCATTGCTGTTGGTGGCTGCTGGTGGCGAAGCTGTGGCGGCAGTCTGTCACGCGGCGCGGTGCTCTACCCCCAGCTGGCCAGCAGGGTGCGCCTCACTGGACCGGCCAGCGACGCCGACCTGGCCTCCATCGACAACGTGCTGATCGCCGAGGGTGTCGAGCCCATCTCAGGTGAGTGGCGGCGCTCGGGCAGCGCCAGCTCACCTGGCCGCCGGCGCCCAGCTCTTCACAGTCTTACGGGCAAGCTCTGCCCATTCAGGCGGCTACCTGTGGCGTCACAGATACGCTCCAGTATAGGGCGCCTTTTGTCCAAAATGTGGGCGACAAGTACAAGAAGCTGATTCAGGCTATGGAGGTATAGCTCGCAGGCATTACAGACAGGATGAATTGGATGGATGGAACAGGTTTGGATGGAATGGAACAGGCAACTAGCATTGGATGGAACAGGTTTTGGGAGGTTCTGTGGCTAAAAACATCATTGTCGATCGCACTATCCGCATGCGATCGAGAGGTGCCCAATCGTCCGACATGGAAGGCCCTCAGCAGCGCCTTGACCGTTGCTAGGCGCTGCTAAATACACAGCGACAACTTGTAAAAAAACGCTCTTACTCGACCTCTCGGCCAAGTCAGGCGTGGGATTCGGCCGTGACGTCGTAGACAGGTCAGGGATGCCAAATGAGGTTGCTTCAAGGAGAGAGCAGACCTCCAGTCGCCGGTGAAGAGCGGGTCCCTGGCTGTGACGGGCGCTGATCTCAGTGCACCGACCACTAACGCAGCGGCGCAGCCGTGATTGGCGGGTAAGCCACGGTCTGTGGGCGAAAACATCCGATCCCAAATGGTGTTTTTCGTGGATCAAATTGTAAAACATGCGCGTTACGACGAGCATTGGTGGGATGAAAGTGTATCGTACACATTGAAATACACGCTCCTTCAGATTTTGCGTGGTGATATGCATGGTTCTGAGAACGGCG